TTTGCCCAATTCTGCTAGGGTACTGGAATTATTTCTCTCTTCCTTTCTGTCCATGCCTCTCTGCCTCTGAGGGAATAGCACCGGTAATGCCAATAGATAGTCCAGACACCCTGGGAGAAAAGGAGAGTTAAATTTAGTGCCATTTACATCCCACCATGTGACCGTTGGCCACATCCCAGGGAGGGGTGGGCACCCGAATGAGTCTACCTAAATCCTGGATATGGTTACCTATCTTGTTCCCAGGAACAAGAGGAATGGCTTTAAAGTTTGTTTGTGTTCACCACATATCACTGGAGAATCTAGGTTCCTTTTTTGTGGGTTCTTAGTCTCCTTCATAAAATTATTTAAAAGCTGACTGAGAAGGAAGCTTGAGAATCATTTTATTAGAATTTTAGAAAAAAACAACAGAGCAAGAAAACTATAAATTCTGACATCTCTCAAGAGGAGGGAGAGAGAGAAGGAAGAAATCCATGCCTTTGGTTAAGGTCAGCAATGGAGGTCTGCAAGCGAGGTGTCAAGGGAAACAGTGAGAAAGTCCAGAGTATTAGTTCAAGCATGTTCAGGGGTTTGGATAGTATTCAAAGAAGAAAGGACGAATTACACTTCTTGAGTTAGAATTTAGGAAGTCAGGCAGGCTTAACAGTAAATATCTGTAAGCAACTGCATCAAGGCTTCTAGAGGGTGTAATTACATTGTTTCACTGAGGGGATAATTATTCCTCCCATCTCTTTAGCATATACCCAAAAGAATCAACTCTCCTGAGGGTGATCTCCTGGCCAGGCTATTGATGGGCCCAATTGGTGCCAAGTCCTTCACAGCTTATTGCTGGAAACATGACTAGGATAGTGATAGGATGAAGAAAAGACAGACAGACAGACAGACAGACAGACAGACAGACAGACAGACAGACAGACAGACAGACAGACAGACAGACAGACAGACAGACAGACAGACAGACAGACAGACAGACAGACAGACAGACAGACAGACAGACAGACAGACAGACAGACAGACAGACAGGAAAGCTGGTAGTCAGTGAACTGTGTTTACTCTGATAATGCATACCTACTAGGCAGCATCCCAGAACTTCAGCGTGTTTATTATGTACAGTATGAGGGAGAGGTTAGGTAGTCTTTGTACACCTCTGCACCCACTTGCACAACAGAAACTAGGACCAGTACAATATCTCAAAGGTGGGTAACAAGGGCTGGATTTAGAGCTAAGAGAAAACAAGTTGGTAACTGTCAGAGAGTACACAACCAGAATTTCCAAATCGTTTAATTGCTCTGTCACAAACTTGTCATTGATGTATATAACATTTCTTGTAGAAGCGTAGGAAGCCAAGCCCACAGCTTGCTCAGAGAGTATAGCTCAAGATGCAGAAGCAAGCAGGGAATCCCCTCCCTCCATTGCTCCACCATTGCTTCTATGTGGCCTGCCTTGTATAGCAGCATGTTTCCAGACACGGTGGCTTGGCAAGCACCAGCATGTTCATGTCCTGCATTTAGCATCTGCTTTTCAGTTTTAGACTGAGGTAGTTCCAGCAACTCAATCATGATGACACAAGGTCGAAACAGGTAAAAACAGATCAAATCAACAGGCGACAGCAGAAGACACCAGTGCCCCCTCGGCAAGCCTCTTCTGGAAAGCACCGGGAATTCCCTCCCTACCACATGCTCCACCCAGTCTGGGCTGAGTGGAGGCTGGAGGAAAATGGACTTTATCATTCCAGAAACATCTGAAGCTTCTTCCACTGAGAAATAGGATGCACAGGGAGGGAAGGGAGATGCAAACCCACATTTTCCTCCCTGATCTTGCCCCTAAATCTCAGGCATGTACATATTTAACCTACAAATATTGAGGAATCATAGACATACCTGACCCTATTAATCAATGTTGAAAGGTGAGCTCCCTGCCAGAGAGCTGAAAAGTTTGTGGTCCTTGTCTGATCAGCTCAGTAGGGAAGGTAGGAGGCAGCTGCCTCCATCAGGACAGTCTCTTTTACCCAGCAGGATTTCTCAGCTTTTACACTGCTGATAGGTTTGTCTAATCCCCATTGGGGTAGGATGTCTGCTTACTAAGGATGTTTATCTGTCTCCCTGTATGTTTATCCGCCTGTATCCTGCTGTTTGTGAGAATGAGAAGTGCCAGCAGTTCCCTTTACCAAGAACCATTAAGCTAAACCCAACAGCGCTGAACGTACTGAACGGCTGCATAGATCTCACAGGAATCTTAGGGCAATTTCTACTCAGTGCATCCTCCCAGAAGAAATGATAGCAATTAAGAACGAAGTATAGCATTAAACTTCAGTTAAAAAGATGCAAGAGATCAGCCTTGTGTCTGTCCCTCAGGACCAGAGACTGCCCATGGTCTGCCAAGTTCACCCAGCTGCCTCAGATGGCAAGTATGGTGCCCTTACCCTAGACACCTGGCCTAGCAGGAAGCTGACCCATCTATCCAGGGTGGCTGGCAGCCTTGGTTTTCCTTGGGAAGCTAGGAAATGTATGGCAGTGTAACTGGAACCCAGCTCAAGGCTTTAAACTGTACACATGACTTTTGGAATAATGACCTAACAAATGTGTTGGAGACCACTGGGTTATTCCAGAAAGAGTTCTTTGTATGGATAGCCTTAGGAAAAGGTCACATGCAACTCCTGCTGACCGTCTGCTGTACAGGTTGGTAGGGTTTAAGCAAAGGACCCACAGTGCTTCCTCAGCCAGGAAAGGTCATGTTGACGGTCATGTTCATTTTTTAGTTAAAGAAGTTACTAGTCCAGTTCTGGGAAGACAAAACACCTTCAGTGTCCTCTTTAGTCTCCTTTCCCATGGCTAACACACTCACCCTTCATTCAGGTCACACTTTCTTCCTCCAGGAAGAATCTGGTTTAGGTGGGACCTGCTCTTATGCCCCATGGTAGCCTGTGTTGCCCTTAGAAGAGCACTCAGCTGTATTGACCTCTGGACTCTGCTATTCTCAGCACACTAAGTCTGTCTCCATCATTACCCGCTGTCTCAGGCTTAAGCTGTATTTATCAAATGAAGGAAGGAAGGTAGGCTTCCATGTTGAGAGGACTAAGTTCAACTTCTAGGTTTATATAGTAAACGAATAGGTCAAATCTGTTGATATCTTTCAGCTTTCAGTTTCCTTATCTGAAAAACACAGATAATGGACTCATCTCTTAGATTTGGAAATGAATTAAAATAATGTACCCAGGACAAGCTTAACATGTAGCACACAGTTGTCATTGCTTCCAAACACTGCCATTTCTGTCATTCAGTATTTTATGTCATTCCTAATGCAGCATAATTAATTGATTTTTTTTCTGTTGCAAATGTTTGACAGCATTTACTGTCTCAGAAGTATAAAATTTTTTATCTTGAAATATATTATCCGTAATTAATAGAACCATGTGCCCCCGGGTATGAATAATCAGCTAATCTTCTCCAGTCCTCTCTCTTCACTCTACCTCTGATTGTCCCTGAGGTACAACTGAGGAAATTTCATCACGAATCATGTGTGCCTGGAGGCTTCAGATGCAAAGAGAACTAATACGACATGTCCACAGTCTTCCGTCTTCCTCCCCCATTTCCCTCCCTTCCTCCTTCTCTATCTCCCTTCCTCACTTCCTCTTCTCTCCTTTCCTTCCTTCATCTCTTCCTTTCGCCTGTCTCCTTGCTCTCTTTCTTCCCTCCTCCCTGAGTCCTCACTCCCTCATCTCCCTTCTTTAAGAACTTACTGAAGCCCTTTATATTCCAAGCACCATCTCTGCAGCCCAGCACAGCCTGGCCTTAGTTACTCCACTTAGGGTGTCAATCTAACGCAAAGGACGCTGTAAAAAGTGGTACAGGCACTGCAGGAAAACTGAGAGATGGCAAAACTGAGACTAGACCCTGGGATCACGTCTCCTTAGGACCATGAGATAACTAAGAAAATGCAGGAGCAGGGCCAGCCAAGGGAACAATTGGCAGGGCCAGTGAGCTGACCTAGTGGGTGGGCGTGTTTGCTGTACAAGCCTGATGACCTGAGTTTGATGATGGACAGACCCCATTATGGAAGGTGAGCACTGACTCCCACGAGTTGCCCACTGACCTCCACACATGCATCTGCACACACAACATACATGCACATGTTACTACATTCTGTTTATTTAAAAGGGAAAGAACACAGGGGCATGAAGACAAGGGAAGTGTTAGAATGTGACAGCCAAGTCCTGCCAAGTGAATAGGATGAGAGAGGGTGGGGCTACCAAGATATGAAGAGAGACGTGAGGCTAGAGGAGCAGATAGAAGCCACATTCAAGGAACCCTCAACTGTCTGTAGGCAGTGTCACTGTCCCAGGAGGGTGGAGGTAGAGCCCTATAGATCTGGGAGTGAGTGGCAGTGGGACTCAGAGCACAGTAGGGATGGTGAGCTTAAAGAAAAGGCACTATGGTGAGATATGCCACCAAAGGAATAGAGACTGAGCAAGACCCTGTGGTGGACTCAGTGAGGGAGAGACTGGAAGTGAGAAGGAAGTCCTGGTTGCAGGCTATGAGGAGAGGAGGTGGCAGACCGACACCTGAGCTTGTCCTTTGTGTTTTACATGCACATTACACAGGTGTGAAAATGCATGTGTGCACAGACACACACACACACACACACACACACACACACACACACACACACACACACTATCTTTTTAGTTAAGTTCCATAAATAGTTTAGGCAAAATTCTCATTCTTCCTAGTTTCTGTTTTGAGGATACCATGAGCAGCCACAGGGGCATAGGAAGCTCTGAGGATTGGAACACAAGTCATTTTTTCTGGCCAAGCACTGACATTTCCAAAGGCTTCCTTGATTCTTATCTACTCAGCTTATTCTCTATCAGAGGAAGGAGGAAGCCAGGAAAAAGCCTGTTTGGGTGGGACATGCCTTTCAGGAGTGTGGAGCCCTCAAGTGGCACTAGGATGGGGAAAGTGACAGAAAATGACAACTAGTGTGATGTCCATTGGATGTTTCAGCCGAGAGTGGACAGAGTGGCGGGCAATTCCAGGGCCGGCCCTCGGAGGTCTGGTCTCAGTGGCAGAGCCAGCACCACGGACAGCAGAGCGGTGAGCAGCACTCCCACCAGCAGCCTGGCCAGACTGAAGTGTTCCAGGTAAATCCAGCGAGCAGCGCCTTCTCGTAGGTGTAGGTACCTGCGCCTTCTCTGCTTCCTTATGCTCCTCTCTGCACCTCTGCCTGCCCTACCCGGTAGCCAGCAAGAGATCCCACCCAGCCTGCAATATGGGGAGCCCACAAGTAGAAGGTCCTGCCCTGCCCAGTCAAAGCCTGAAGGTACACAGAAGAGGCAATCAGGCCTTTAGCCTTTCAGCTGTACCCACACAGGGGAGGCTGCATCCTGAATTGAACCCCAGTAGGGCAGTAGGACTCGGGAGCAGGGCCCATGCCCCTTTAAGGGCTAGAGAACCTCAATGCTCACCATGGGCAGTATGCACAACCTCCAAGAACTGCAGGTCACTAGAGGCTTGACTGCCTCAGCCTATCTCCACCAGGAGGAGGGACTCTCTTCCCCAAACCCTCAGCCCATGGCAGCTGGAGCACTGCTCAGCTCTCTAGGCCTGGCTGTCTATTGGCTGAGGGTCCCCGGCTACTCCCACACCTCTACTTCTAGAGGCATGCCTTGCTCTTCTCAATTCCTGGCACAGACCAACATCACTGTGCTGATGACAAGGCCATGGCCTGCTTGTTATACAGGGCTCAGCCTCCCAGGTTTCCCTGGAAGGCTGTAAGTGAAGATGTGAGCCCCTTAACTCCCCTCAGCTAGAGCTGGGCCTGCTGGCCCAGTCCCCTAGCAGTAGCCCAGGCTCCTCTATGGGGCCTCCAGAGTGCTGCCTGCCCTGTGCAGCAAGGCTCCAGGCAAGAGCCAAGGAGGCTCAGGCCACACTCTTCCTGCTCAAGGCTTCATCCCTCTCACACACATGTGCGTGCACGCGCGCGCACACACACACACACACACACACATACACACACATACACACACACTTCACTCTCACCTGGTCAAGTATCATTTTCCGCGTGTACGTGCACGCGCACACACACACACATACACACACACTTCACTCTCACCTGGTCAAGTATCATTTTCACAGACCCATGTCTAGATCCAGGTGTCACTCAGTGATCCACAGGGTTGTATCCTTTCCCAGTAGAGGGAAGTGCCTTCCCCAGGCCTGCCTTTAACTTCCCTCCTTCCCACTATAAGTACCAGCCCTTACCTATTTTTCATCTCATAGAGCAACTCTGAAAGGCTTAATTTTCTAACCGAGGTCACCTCGCCAAAAATAATTCTTGGTCAAATGATTTTGTGAAACACCAATTAAAGCAAGTTACTCAGTTTCTTTCTTACAGAATTTATCAGAGCCTTTATTATACCACTGAGGAATGGATTCCTAGGAGGTAGAAAATATTGCCTTGTTTCCCAAGCACATTTGGCCACAGAATTCTTTGCCCACCATTATTACATGGGTTGGGAATTGGACAAAGTACAGCGAAACTTTTGCCTGAAGGAATTGAAAGTCCCCCAGTATTTTCAGAACAGGTAGTCTAAGATCTAGCAAACTAGGACAAGATAAAGTAACCAACTTTCCACTCAGGGATGGCACCACCCACCCTGACAGGCCACTGAACCCAAGCCGCTTCTGCTCAGGCTCCTGCTTGGTTAGTCAGTCTTGCTTACTGCTGCAGGCCTTGCTTGCCCAGCTGGGCTCTTTCCACCTGTGGGCTTAGCTTCAGTTAAACGGCTGCGGCCTGATGGTTACCTTCATCGTGACCATGTCCCAGGAGAGCAGCTCCCAGGGGGGTCAGGTATTGAGGATCCCTGAAGAGCAGCCCTGTACACAAAGCTATGCAAAGGAACCCTTGCTCACTAGAGAGATGGCCGAGGGGATCAATGGCAGGCTGGACTCCGGGACAAGGGCAGGCTTTGGGTGAGGCCACTGACCACTGGGACTTTCTGTTCTTCTCCTCTCCAGGACATGCTGCCCATGCCGGGGGACCCGACGCAGGGGACTGGCAACTATAACATCGAGGACTTTGCTGACCTGGGCATGTTCCCTCCATTTTCTGAGTAGCTTCAGGCAAAACCAGGCTCCTACTCCCCAGGAGCTATTCTTGTCATGGCATAGATGCCCATGTTCAAAGGGGGGCCCCTCACCCAGCTTGCCCTGCTGCAGAATCCCCAGAAGTCCCCCTTACTCCCTATCTCCCTGGACATGGCATCATCTGGCTCTAACCCACAGGCCTGGCTTCTTGGGTTTGGGACCTTTGTATTTATTGTACTTTATCTGTGTGCTCGGAAGGGGGCCTCCAGGGTCCATAAATTCCATTGTGAATAATGTCTAAATGGACAATTTACACCCATCAAGTGTTTGCCTGGCATCCACAGTGGCTGGCAGCACCAGCAGGTCTGCCTGGTGCAGAAGCTGGGTTTCTTTCTGCTTTTTCACAGCTGCTGCCTGGGGTCTTCAGGTAGGACTGAGAGGCAGTAACTGTGTGTCCTGTGCTGGAGCCAGGCACACAGGGGCCTGAGTGAGATTCCCACCACTCGCTGTCCTTGATGGCCTGGGGCCAGGTGTGCTTTGTGCAGTGAGAATCAAAGTTGTGACTTGGTAGATGTACTGTGGTGTGTTGGTGTGTGTGGCCAGTGAGAGTGAGAAGCTGTCCCCACTCAGTTGTATTTGAAAGGAGAGCACTACAGGAGCCTGGGAGCTGGGCTGACAACCAACCTTCCAGGAGTCAGGGCTGGGGAGCTGTTCATGGTGTAAGTCATTTCTTTGGTCCGCTGGCCCTTTTACAGACAGCCTCCACTTAAAGTTCCTAGCCCTTCCTTCTGGCGACCTATGAGAGCACTCAGTCTTCTCTCACTAGGCCTGAGGGACAGTGTCCTGATTCCATGAAGATCGTGGCATCCTCCCTGCTGTGCAGCAGAGCTGAGCTATTTCCTGCCTAGCTCCTTCAGGAAGTCACACCTGGCCCTCTGTATGGGTTCGATGCCCTGCCTCTCAGTGTCTCTGACACCTTCTGCTCAATAAGGCCCCTAGGAAGACGGGGCCACATTCTGGATGGAGAAGTGTGTTCTGGGGGACCTGAGCCTCCATCCTCAGCAGGCCGCAGAGCCAGGAGTATCTCAGAACAGACACAACCAGGCCTTGGAGGCCAGGGACTCGGCTCTGGCCACCCTCTTATAGTGGTCTTAAGGTGGAACTTTGAGCTAACTTGTAGAAATTTCTGTGTGGTTTATCTCTGACACCAGAGTCCCCGTGTCAGTCAGATTTGACAGAGCTTCAGATTCCAACCCATTTTCAAGTCCCAGAGCTCCTCCCACATCCCATGTGCTACAGCTAATGCTCCCTGCCTCCCTTTACATAATGAAGCCTCATCTCAGGTGTCTCATCACCATGGATCAACCCAAGTGTAAGAGAAGCCACAGAACTGCCTTAGGCAGGCCCTGGGGTCCTTCGAAGCTCTTTTAGGAACCCCTTGTTTGAATGTGGAGGTGCAAGCTCCTGAAACAGCCCTGCCTTGCAGCCTGGCTCCTGGGATGCTGGGAGTATAATAGGTTCCAGGATCCATAAGAGCAGAAGGAGCATGTGGATTAAAGGCCTGGAAGAGTAGCACTGCGTTCCAAAGCTCAGCTTTGCCTACCATCCAGGGAGCACCAGTTTTCTTATAGGACTCACCTGCAAACTCTGCTTAGCTCAGCAGGAATACCTTGGGGATCCCTGTCCGTAACAAACTCTGGCCCCAATGGTCCTCAGACAGCTTTTAACCCTTCCATGGAGACTAATAACACAGTCTAAGGTCCATCCCAGCCTCAGAATCCCGAAGAGGTCTCCTATGTGTGCTGCTTGGTACACCTTCTGTCCCAAGCAGCCTGGAGCTGGCCTCAGTTGGTGAGCATAAGTTATAAAAGAGAAAAAGGCCCAAAGCTAGCTTCAGGGGCAAAGAATGTTTTTCAGTGACAAAAACCAGCCATGGCCTTTAACTTATGAATTAAAAAGTGTGGGAGCTGTGAGTTTGGGTTTTTACTACCTTTGGAGGAAAATTGGGGCTTTTCTTGGGTGTATGACACAGGTTACATGGAGTATCCCTCTCCAATGTGAGACCACCTGCTTTGTGAGGGCTATGGCCTATCATACAAGCAAAAACAAGTCATTTGCTAACCATCAGTAACAAGGCAAAATTGCAACCCTCTTTGTATGTGACCATGGGTTGCTATGTCCTAACTTGCCAGTCTACCCTACCCTACCCTACCCTACCCTTCCCCAGTGCCACCACTGGGGAAACTGAAGCAGGAAAGGTCATGAGCTCAGGAGTTGGTCTTGACCAACCTGGGCAACATGATGAGACTAATCTCAAAAATAAATATATAGCTGAGTAACTTGGCCATATTCTATGTAAGAAGGCCATATTCTATGTACTGAAGAGGTAGCTCACAGGGCATGGACACATTTCTACATGTGACATGCCATGTCTTGTGCCCTGAGCTGAATTTGTTCAGGCAGCTTGCAAAGCCTTGTGGGTACAGGCTGCAGCAACATAGAGCTGTTCACAGGCCATGCAGGGCCCAGCAGTTTGCTTTGTCTAACCATCTATTTCCTTAAAGAAAAAGATTCCCAAGCAGGCTTCCACGAACAGCAAGCACTTACTCATCTCTCTTTTAGCCTTTCCTCTTAATGGATGTGAACTGTGCCGTGGGTAAATCATTTGTATTTCTTAAGCGTTCTGTATGACTAACAGGTATTAAGTCACTGGGTATGTGTATAACTAATGTAACTGCCTTTTAAATTTTCATTACAATAAAAAATGACTTTGCTCTGAACAGTGAGAGCCTCGGGACCAGCTTGGTAATTGATCACCTTGAGGCACCTGCCCCTGGGAGTCTGGGATAAGCTACCTCCAGCCAATCAAGGATGTGTAGTTCAGACATGCTAAAGAGTCATACTACAAGTTCTAGCTACTTAGGACAGAAAAGGAAACAAATGATTCTTGAGCAATGTTCTCAACCTGTGGATCACGAACCCCTTGACAAACCTCTATCTCCAAAAAAAAAAAAAAACACATATTTACATAATGATTCATAACAGGATCAAAATTACAGTTATGAAGTAGCAATGAAAATGATTTTATGGTTGGGGGTCACCACAACACGAGGAACTGTATTAAAGGGTGGCAGTGGTAGGAAGGCTGAGAACCATTGTTCTTGAAATTCAGTGTAAGGCAAGGCTCTCTAGAAAACTGGAGTTCACAAACACAAAAGGCATTTATTTTTCCCAAAGACTTTAAAAGAGAATTCCTGGAAGAAAGCCCTGAATCATACATCTAAGAAGGACTTGTATCCAGGAACTACTGGATGAAAGGAACTACTCCTCCAACTCAAAACAGAAATCTTAGTACCAATAAAAATAGCTGAACATAACACATCAGTGTTTTTTTCCCAAGAATTTATATACAGGCTGCTGGGTGTGACAATGCCTACAACTGCAGCTTCAGATGGGCTGAGGCAGTAGGATTGTCTGAGTGAGTGCAGAAGTTCCAAAGCAGCCTAGGCAACACGGTGAGAATCTATCTCAAAGGCACACACACACACACACACACACACACACACACACACACACACACACACACATAGAAATGAGTAAGTAAATCTTTATAACTCCAAAGGGCCCATCTGTCTGCATTTCTAATTTGCCAAGTTGAAATTTAGTGCTAACTGCCACAGACCTATTGTCTAAAGAATACATGTTGCTTATAAAATAATAAAAATTATTTTAAAAGAACAAATTGCCTACTAGAGGAGGAGGAAAGCATGATTTGTCACTCATTTACTGAGAAGTCCTGAAACACTTCAAGATTTAACCTCAGAAAGACGTAACAAAAAAGTGTCTATGGCCAGTGTTCCCTATCACTGCACAAGCTCATGAATGGGAAGCTGGGAGAACTGCAGAGCAGGGGCCCAGTAGAAAGAAACAGCAAATAAAAGGCAAATTCTTGTGGGACCCGAGCTGACACCCTCCCTACCTGTGTTCCTTCTGTTGTCGATAAACTATGAACTGAAGCAAACTTTTCATAATTATTTTCCTAATTGTGCACATAATATAAGCCATGTGGAGAATATAGAAAGTTATTAAGCGTTAAACTGTGAATAAGTGACATGTGCTTGTAGTCTGTGCACTAGGGAGGTGGAGATAGCCAGATCCTTGGGCCTCACTGATGAGCCAGTCTGCTGATAAAGATGAGTTCTAAGTTTAGTGTCTGACTCAAGAGTAAATAAAAAGATGTTGACTCCTAAGGAGCATCATCCAAGGTTGATCTCTGTCTTCACAGTCCCATGCACATAGACATACTTGCACACACCTCAACACATACACTTAATATTGTGTTCCAATTCATTATCAGTGGAGGGAGGAAGGGTCAAGTTGAGAAGTGAGAACACTGACTGCTCAGAATTCAGAGAGTGTGTGGGGAAAGCTGTAGCATGTATTATACTGCTACCCAGAGATCTCCATCGTCTCCCAGTCTCCCCTCAACTTCCAGGGAGGAAATTAAGGCATGTCCTCAGTTGCTATTTGCCTGATCACCTTCTCAAGCATGTCATTTCTGTAAACACTTATGTGACACCTACCACCTGTTATGCATGGTGCTGGTATTGGGTTAACATAAAGAAAACCTAGGCTTCCTGAGCATAAAGAGTTTCCCATCACTAGGGAAAGACAGCAGCAAACAGAACATGGATTTCTGGGATATGCTAAGAGTCTAGCAACTGGATACCCATTGAGCACCGATATAAAAGGGGGCTGCATTCAGAAAAGACTGAAGTAATCAGCAGGACAACCACTGGCTCCTATGGCAATTAATAGGGTGAAAAGAGCCAAGGAGAAAACACCCTGCCCCTGATTTGACCACAGGACCAGGTCTTGAAATCCCACCAATCCCTGAGCTCTATATGCTGTTCAGTTTGCTGCTGTTCCTCACCTGAGACAGCCAGGCTCCTGAATTCTTCCTTTCCCAATAAATATCTTGAGTGAGGTTTGTTATGCGGTGTGACATTTTCGTTAGAACAGAACCCAGCTGTAACAACTTTTGCTGGAGCCAAAGCCAGAGAGGAGAGAGCTTTAACACTTTCACTAGGGGAATTTTCCCCTAGCAAACAAGAGTTGTTACACTCCAGGGGACCTGGGCAGAACTGCAACACTTCTCTGGAGCAAAGCTGTAACTACTTTGCCAGGGAAACCCTTCCCTGCCAGAGCAGAGTTGTTACACTTGCATTGGGGAAGCCTTCCCCTGGAGCAGGGCTGTGAGCTGCTACACTTACAGTGACTTATGGTATCCCTCGGCACTTACTGCCAGGATTCCTTTCCATCCTTGCTGCAATGCTTGCTGACAACAAAGGTGTCTTTGCTGACTCACAGCTTCTGAGCTCAGTTCTTTCACAGGAGCAGGGCTGTGAGCTGCTACACTTACAGTGACTTATGGTATCCCTTGGCACTTACTGCCAGGATTCCTTTCCATCCTTGCTGCAATGCTTGCTTACAACAAAGGTGTCTTTGCTGACTCACAGCTTCTGAGCTCAGTTCTTTCAGGGAACACTTAAAGCATTCCCATCTCAAATCCCAAGACTCTAATAAAGTATGCCACAGGACACTAAATTAGAATGCCTGACACTCATCCTTCCTCTGGTTCTTTGATACAACTTCCCAGCCCCTGATTCCTCCTATGTTTTTACTAAAAGTCAAATACATATATGAAAAAAAATTAATTGGTTTGCTGCTAATGAGCAAAGAATCATGAGCTACCATCATGATCTGGTAGCATGTGGGAAATTTCTTCTCCTTGGGCTCCTCAAGGGAAGAAGAATTTTTGCTCATTTTTCTCTTGAAGTCTATATATCCTTAAATGGTCACCATGTTTCTCTTGCTGCTGTGTTTGTATTTAAGCTGGGTCCACCAACCTGAGCCATGTCATCAGTGATGCAAGTGATGATGTCACAATGGGTTACAGGAAACTATGGACATCTTTCAGGCCTTCTCAACTCTTAGGAAGTGTGGTTTGAGAGTTTCCTGTGGAAAAGCCCACAGAGCTACCTGGTCATCAAGGAGACAGGACCCTGAGAGCCAAGTAGGAACTAAAGGAAAGTCATTATAGTTCCACCTTCATGGCAGGATATGGTTTCATTGAAGACCCAAGGGCTCTGTCTTCAGGTAAGGAAGCAGGGAGACCTCTGTCCAAGTCAGGTTGCTACCAGGAGGACATAAAGAGAAAAAAGTTACTTCTTTGGTGAAAGCTGCCTCTAGACTTTGGATCATGAGTTCATCTTCATCATAATTCAGAGTCCATGACATTCAGCCCCTGACCGTTAAGTGATCAGAAACTCAATGCAGTCTGGGTCCCCCCTATTCCTTCATGGCCCAGATCTGGAGTGAGCCCATCTGGACACATGGTAAAATAGTGGTTTCCAGTTACATCTCAACTACCCCAACCCTATGCTGACTATGAATCAGTGTCTTGTGTTTTTATTCCCACTTAAAGCTATGATGTGGAGGCTGAGAGCTGAGGTGGACACATTCCTGGCCTTTGGTTGTAGCAGACACAGGTTGGAATCAGAGGCAGGCTGGGAGGAGAAAAGGCCAGGATCAGAAAGATGCAAAACAAGTATCTCAGCTGGGGCCCTGGGGCTTTTCACCTCAGTATTAATGGAAAGAGGTTCAGATAACCATTCTTCCTTTAGTGTGTGTGAAGACAGGGAAAGCGAGGTTGTGAAAAGACAGGCAGAGAGGGTGGCGTCTAAACTGAATCCTCCATGTCAGTGAAGATACTGAGAGAGGAACAGACAACATTGACAAGCATGGGAAAGGAAGTGATTCCTGGCCACCATGAGGCAGCTATGGGGTCATGGGGCCAGCTCGTGGAGTGAAGATATGTCCCAGGTAGATGGCCTGAAGATGAAGAAATGGAAGAGGCAGAAGATGTAGCTATGGCCAGGATAGAAATGCTGGACCTCATTGTGCCTTGAGCCAAGGATTGGTTATAGAGTGATCTATGGTCACCTGTGATCCAAGGGACCATTGCCCTCAGTGTGGTAGTGGACATCCACATGAGGCAGTTAGGGTTGAGAGCATGCAGCCTGGCTAAGCAAATCAGAGAAGCCAGCAGAGTTCCTGTCAACTACTGTTATCCTCTCAGGAAGAACATGTCAGGACTTGGGAATTTTCATGCCCACCATCTTTGTGTTTTCTTTCAAGCTAAAACAAGCACCATCTTCACATTGTAAGGTCATGCTTTGGCAAAGCACGAAGTCCTGTGCCAAAGCCTTTCCATCCCATCAAGCAGCTTGCCAATGACTCCTGGAAGCAGAGGCACCGCAACTAGTGTTTGCAGTGTTGTAGTTCATGTTTTCTCCAGCATCCCTGTGGGGATCATTTCCCTCTGTGGGAACTTGACACTGGAGCCCTGCTCAATCTCTCAGGATTTCATACCCTTGCTGGGGTGAGGTGTCCTCCACCTTCACATGCCCACTCCTGGGGTTACCGTCTGTGGAATTATAGGGTGGAGGTACTGACAGATGGAGGTATTCATTCCACTTTTTTTGGGGGGGGGGAACTCTCCCCTAATAAGCCACTTTCACACACATTTTGCGTGGATTCCAAGATCAGACAGTGGCCCTGAAACAAATGCCAAACCACAGCAGCATGGAGACTAAGAACTTGGAAATGCTTGCGTGGAAATTATTCTGTCAACAATGTATATTTCAAGTGCTAAGGACACAATTTGGATTAGAGAAATAGTAAATTGCTTTTTCTGGCAAGCAAGACATGAGTTCTATTTCAA